CGAATTTTGACATTTGGACAAGCTCCATATAATTCGCCTCGTGTGTTATTAGCTGCTCGTATGGCCCATCCATGTTCCATATCAATTGGCCATTTTTGCTTCTTATAAAGATCTTTAGACATGAGATTTATTTCAGAACCATGGTCCACCAAAGCAACTATTGGTTCTTCTATATCTCCTACCTTCACCAATACCTCAGTAGTTGCCCTTGCCCAATGCTTTCGAGTATAATGGCTCAAAGTTTCCATTTCCTTGTCACTAGAATCTTCGAAACGTACTCGCTGATTATACCCATTCTTTTCATTTGTTGGTTGCTTGTAACCAATATCAACCTCTTCTTCATCTCTACATATTCTTGCATCAATAGCATGACTCATTCCAGTTTCGCTCATTAATTGCCTCTTTCGCTTAATGCTGTCAATGATAATATCATGAAACTCCTTCTTTGCAATTCCCAAGACTTCTTTCAATGTGAATTCCACCTTAGCGTTTAATATACGTTCTTCCAACACCCCTTTCAAATTTGTTGCCGCTTCAATGTCAGAAAGTAGCTTATAAGCAATTGATTTGCCCTTATCTTTTGTCTCCGTTGTTTTTTCTCCCAATGATGCTGAGGTATCCTTTACAGGCAATTCTTGTGAAGCTGCCTCCCGAGCCTTGTCTCCTCGAGTTTGCCTCTTAAAAGAATTTCCTTCTCTAGTATCATCAAAATTTCCTCGTCTTTTTTCTTCCATCAAAGCTTCATGTTGGCTCTTAGCAAAATATGCATGAACTGAAAGAGACTCAACGGGATCCTCCCAACCTGTTCTTCCTCGTATTGTAGCTGCAGTTCTCAATAACGCTTCTCGAGGTAATTTCCCTTCTTGCATTGTAGAAATGGCAGAAGCCCAAAACTCACTAGTTTCCGTACTTCCACCAATTTCATCATCTACTCTAGCACCATAACTTGCACTTTCTCGTACTACTGTTTCATGCTCTTTTAAGTAATCTTGAACCAATGCTCTCATTCCTCCCTTGCCAAAATTGGTTTGAAGAAGATCCTCCCTATCTTTCAATGCTATCTTCCCATCTTTCCAGCAAATAATTCCCTGCCGTATCATATTATTAAATTCATTGCAATCTTTTCTAGTGTGTGAAGCATCATCACACCAAATGCATCTTTGTACATATCCTTGTTTTGAAACATTCTTCGAATTGTTTATAGAAGTATTCTCTTCAAGTCTTGCCAATTTGATTTGAAGATCTCGCATTCCTCGTATAATTTCTTCCATACCCATATCTGCTTTCTTTGACAAGGATGTCGAAGGTTGAACTGTAGGCATTGTCGGTGGTGTTGTACGTACTGGAGCTTTGGATGCTTGTACTGTTTTCGGAATATTGCTCCTATCCTTCCTCCTTTCTTTTTTTGTAAGCAACCCCACCGCATCTTCAACGCTCTTCCACTTCGTCGTCAATCCTTCATCTTCTTCTTTGTCTTCAAGAAGGGGTTCTAATTTCTCTTGCAATTCTCCATCAGCAGCTTGAAGAAATAGATCAACTTTGTTCGGCTCCAATGTCAATTTTTCTACCTTCGATAATTGAAAATACTGCCTCTCAAATTCCCTTAGTAGCTCTGTTGCTTACAAATTCTTATTGGGCCGTTCAATCCATCCCAAAAACAGCTTCTTAGTAACACGATCAGCATCTTCCAAGAAATATTCGTCTTTTAATGCATGTGAAAAATCCTCCCATGAATTCCCACAACGATCCGTAATCGATGTAATGTGGTCCCTTATCTCCGGTATCGTGGCAAGTCCAAATAGTGCAACCATTTTCTTCTCAGAAATCCGATTTAATTCCATTTCACGAACATAACATCTTAAATACTTTGAAATATTCCTTCCATCAAATTGATCAATTTTATTGACCACTGCTTGCAATGCTTTGGTTGCCAAAGCTTCCTTTCGATCATTGCTTTGCTGTTGCTGCATTGACAATGAGAAGGCTTGAAACAAACTAGCAATAGACGGATCCATGTGCATACCTTGTCCTTTAGAAGACTCCCCACCAGAAACTTCTCCCAAAAATCCTTCAAAATTTTTATTTTCGTTTTCCATAAAAATAAAGATAAAATCAACCGAAATCCAATACCTTCCACCTCAAGCTTTCACGTCGGGTTCACCACTTATGTCATATTACGTGCTTTCCTGCTCGAGAACACGCCGGGCATCTGGGTGTAGAAGGTAGTATGGAGATTCACCGATAGTCAAGCAGTCTATCAATTTTTGACTGCTGGAATATAAACGACTGCAACAATGTACCATAAATCTATACGGATGCTCTTCGACTGCTTGTCGAAGTCTTTTTTTTTTTTTTTTTTTGCCCCAGCCGATAGGTCTCTAGACATTACAGAGAACCCCGAACAACCCAAACTGTTAATCTTCAATACCCCTTTGTACTTACGATCTTGTATCCACTGACTGTCCTGTTAGATTAACCCAATAAATTTCATTCACTCCGCATACTCAATCCTATAGACACCCCTTTAATCCTTCAATCACATACGTAACTCAATTTTACAAAACAGTCAAGAGTATTCAAACCCACTTCATTTAAAAATCCCGATTCACCATTACAACACTGACTTCAGCAGCGATTGCCTCAGTCTTCCCAAAACTCTATGAAGAAGAAAAATCCAAATTCTATGTCTCTCGTTCCCCGACCCGAAGCATGAAGCTCCTCTTTCTAATTCCCTTGATCTTCAAAAACCTCCAATGAAAACCGAACTGGTAACCTTGCAGAAGCTTGAAAACTAGCTCCCCCCCCCCGATTCCCCGAAAAAAAAACCTCCCTCCTCAAAACTATATCCCCTCTAACCTTATCCTCTGAATTTCTTCAATCTTCCGTCTTAGATCCGGAATTGGCTCCCACCTCAAGCTTGGATCCGAAATTGGCTCTCGTCGTCAAGCTTTCTCCTCCGTTTTTACCTTTAAAAAATCCATTTACCGAAAATAACGTTCCCTGAAACGGCACAGAGAACATGACAGCCTGAAACAGAATCGAACCCCGTAATCGGGACCACATTGAGTCGCCCGACCAATTCAGGTCCTATATTGGGAAAGATGCCCGTAGTAACCTGGATGTTCCCGTAATTGGGTCAAATTGGTCCTCGCGTCAGATTGGCTAAGACCCGTAGTAAGACCTGGATTTCCCGTAATTAGACTGCATTGGGTTGACCGGCCAATTCAGGTCTCATATTGGATAAGAGGACCCGAATTGGATTATCGAAATTGGATCCAATTGGCTCCTTGAACCCGTCGTGTGAATTGGTCCTTCTCTTCCTGCTGACTCCCGTTATTGGAATCGAATGGAGCATTTCAGTATGCCCCGGCTGACTGTAACGGAGTGACTGAACCTGACCACTTAGTATTTGTACTGGAGTTGGTCGATGCTCCCAATATTCGAGGTAACTGAATATTAATAAAATTCTCCTTTCTTTTTATTTTCACTGTATACTCGTGTTACAACACGACAACGTAGCCCTTAGTTAGATAGTATATATAGAGACAAGAGTGAAGCCTTCTTCACTCTTGTCAATTCCTTTCTTGCTTCCAGTCTAGTTTCAAGGGTCTCTAGTTTTCTTGGCTTTTGGCAATAGCCATTCCAGTTTCTTTCCTAATATATATATATATATATATATATATATATATATATATATATATATATATATATATATATATATATATCAAGTTATTTCTATTTTGTCATCTTTCTTTGAGAGAAGTTTCACTTGTTTATTTGTTTTTATCATGTTCTTGTCCTTAACACTTAGTCATTTCTTTCTTACCAATTTGATCTTATTTTAAAAATGGTTGAGTTTTTATTTTATTTTATTTAGTGTAAAAATAATTATATATTTTTAAAAAATAATTATATATTTTTAAAAAATAATTATATATTTTTAAAAAATAATTATATATTTTTAAAAAATAATTATATATTTTTAAAAAATAATTATATATTTTTAAAGAATAATTATATATTTTTAAAAAATAATTATATATTTTTAAAAAATAATTATATATTTTTAAAAAATAATTATATATTTTTAAAAAATAATTATATATTTTTAAAAAATAATTATATATTTTTAAAAAATAATTATATATTTTTAAAAAATAATTATATATTTTTAAAAAATAATTATATATTTTTAAAAAATAATTATATATTTTTTAAAAAATAATTAAGTATTTTGTAGCTTCTATAATAGTATTTAGGTTTAATTTTTTTATTCCCAACTTCTAAACATGTTGAAATCTTCATGTAATGAGATATTTTTTCTATTTAATTTTTAGAAGAATGTTTAGTTTTAACAAACTATTCAAATTTTGACTAAAAATCATCACTTATTTTTTCAATAGCCATTAATATTAAGATACATCTTATTATTAACAAGTAACTAGCAAGAAATTACTCCACAACCATGGAATTCTATAATTTAACATGTTTGTAACATAATAATAAAATTAATTAACCATAAAGCTTCTACTTTGAATGAAATTGTAATATCACTAGTATTTTGCGACAAGTTGTTGACTATATAAAGTAATTGTGATGTATGGGAATGCTAGGATTTATTGTACATTTTAAATTGTATTTATTTGAAATACAAGCATAAACTATTATATAATGCTTTTCCAAATTTGGCCATATCAATCACATTTCTTTAAAATATTATTTTTGAAAGCTCTTTTTCAAAAAATAATACAATACATTACAAATTTGATTTTTAAAAAATTTCACAAATACAAATAGGAAGGTTTATTGTAACTAATATTAATTAAACCTTTGAATAAATTTTATTTAGAGTTTTATAAGATATTAAAGTGATAATTTTTTTTTCAGAAAGTTGTTATTATGATTCCTATGATCATTATTTTTAAATTTTAATTTTTTAAAAACCTGAATAAAATCGTGAAAATGTTCATGTATATGTAATCAAAGAAATACATCTGAAGTAATTGATTAAAAAAATGATCATAGATTGAGTATTTTCAACAACGCATACATGATTGGAAATAGACCCTCGAAAAGATTTACAGTTCTGGTTTAGGGTTTAGGGTCTAGTTCAAATTCGTTTGAAGGTAGACAATCTGAGGGACACGGTCTTGTAAAAAAATATTGGCAGAAAAAGCATCTATAGCTTGTGGTATGATACATGCCAGTGACATCCTATGGACTTTCACCCGTTGCATTCGCTGAGGATCCTACCCAGTAGGTTTTCACCCCAACAAGAATCTTCTCCGGTACCAAAGGCCCATCCTCATGATCCGCCATACGAGTCTCCCAGCGCATCCCTTGTGAGATCATCATCACCCGATTTAATACCTCTACCTCGTCACGAATTATTACTGCCCCTTCAGGACGCAAAATTCGGTCCATTTCCAGCAAGATATCCACTATGTCGCACCTGAGCATATCATAAGACGGCGACTTAGCCTTAAAATGAACTCATGCCATCGACAAATTCACAGAAGTATTGACGAAATGAACACAAGGAATCTTTCATTTTTAGACCAGAGGAGGAATGATATAGCAGATACATCTGCATGCATTCATTAGACCCAGATGGGCACTTGCAGATTTGTTCTGGATGTATACTTTTTGAAAAAAAGTATAAATCTTATTAGCAAGAAAATTCTGTTTGAACCTGGAAATATAACTTCGTGGAACGACTAAGAACTGAGTGCGATCCTTATGCAGTATGTTCGCCTTTCCTGTGGGTCCGAGATTCAGACGCACCTGTCTTGATACATGCTGAAGAGGCCACTTGCGTGAATAAGGTCGTACGTTCGTGGATACGTAGAAAAGGCTTCGCACCTGATGAGACATTGACACAACATTGAAAAAACAACATGGGAGACTTAGAACGTTGTAAATGCAGCACAGACGATGACGTGAATACGACTTCATGGCCTCCCCTACTTTATTGGAGCTGCTGTTGTTCTTAAATTCTTCACCTTATGGTTTTTACAAACTATGGATTTCAACCGCTGCTTAAAAACCAGGGAGCCTTGAGCTAACTTCCGTTGAGAGAACTCATGGGTTCTGTAAAACATTGCAAGTCTTTACAATTGACTACCCTCTTCCTGATATTTGAAGATTAAGGGAAAAAAATCAGAAGTGCATAAAGAACGATAATCATGACATCTTTAATGTTCCTTGATAACTCTAATCAGTGACCCTTGTCTGTAACGTGACAAAACCATTAAGACGTTCTCCTAGGGAGCAGGCTACACAATGTGGCTTTCAAGGATGAAAGCATGGCCATTTTCAGCAATTAATTTAGCTTTCAAGTTCCTGTAAAAAGCATGACAAACTCACTGACATAGGAATGCTCTAATTCCTGGAATCGGTTCTTTTCCTGTTACTCCATTAGAGCTTAGAGGGGATTTCGAAAACTCACCAATTTTGGTATGTTCCAATCAGTCCTCGTTCATAGATTACTCCAAGAGTATTGTCCTTAACATCGGAAGGCATGACATTCATAACCCAAACTGGATCCTTTACCAAAGAGGCGGCAAAACCTCCAAGTCCTGCGTTCATGTCCATGATATTCCGGTATCTGCCAGAGGCCAATGGGGTAACTAGACGGGTCTTGTAATAACTTACACGTTTGTCCCATAGCAGAGTATCATCCCTAAAACTTTTAGCAGTCATCCCTGGAATTGAACCGCTTGCGATTCGAGGTGGCACTGTTGTTAGCCTCGCGGGCCATTTTTCAAGAGCGCCACCAGCAACTTCTTTTGTGTCCGTGACGTCTGGTAGGGGAGTTATACACGTTTCCATCTTTCGATACCTATGAAGTAGCAATAGAAGTTTGCTTCGTATGAGACTTACCATATGCAACTTTTGTGCCTAATCCTACCCGCGACCTTGCTTGTAAAACGAAATTCAATCTCAGGTTGCATCTGACTTTATAATGAGATAAATCCAATATACGTAAGCCAAACATCACACTCTCAACTAGGATTATGCAGTTCGCACGAGACTTTCGATTAACTTCGGAGGAACATGAGACATTTGTGAAGGGCAACAAAGACGCACCAGGCCAAGTCAGGGTTTTCACCCTTGCTGCAGATATGGGGGCGCAGGTTACGATCACGCTGCCGCTGTTGCTCACACACAATGTGGTTCAGAGGCTTTTGCCAGATGGCAAGATTCTCCCTCTCAGCATACTTCCTCCAGCATATACGTCGAGCTGCGTCTTCAATGCTATCTTGCTCATCTTTCAACACCTCTTGACTTCGTGACCAACCCTTATAATGCGATCTCCAATTTATAGGTGGTCCAGAAAGGATCCAAAAGCCGCCCGGCCTCAACACACGGTCGACCTCAATCAAGTACAAACTATCTGTTAAACATGCCCAAAACAATTTTTCTCTTCAGGCCGTCCCAACACATATTGATAGTCCTCCTTAAGACGATGCAATAGAAACAGTCCTTGTGGTGGGGCTTATTCAGCCCATTATGGCATTGCTTACCCACAGGTGAGGATCAAACTCTTAACAAATAAATTTAAAGAAATTTTACAGAACGAGTGAATTTGTACAATTACCGTATTTGGCCCACGGAATTAGGCAACGAGAGCAGTGTGCCATGTCAAAAGATCGTGCTGGGTATGGCAATCGGTTCTCGGCCATTATGCCAAGAATCGCCGAAACACCTCTCTCTAATGCAAATTGGATCTGAGAAACATGTGTATCCCGTGGTGCGAACGACATGGTTAATACATTCTTCTCCAGTAAGTATGCGCCCCAGCTAGCCACCTTGAAACCAACGATACATTAAGGCCCGTGAGAAGCGCCAGAAATTAGCAGCATTAGGAGAGAAAAGAACTAGAGCAAATTACAGAAACTAGCATGAGATCAAATAGGTGCAGGAAACAACACACTCTGAACGGCATTAATGACATTTGACGTAGTTTAAGTTACAGAAGGTAACTACTGGAGCTGATGAGGCTACATTGTTATCAGTTCATCCTTACCCCACAACCAGTATCTATGGCTGTTCGGATGGATCCATCATTAAGAGGGATTAGGGCTGCAATACTGTTGATGTATTCCTCAGCACCTCCAGCAGAGAAAGTTCCACCTCCTGGAAAGTATAGTTTCTCTCCTTGCAACTGCACCCACTTTTGGATCGCCTTCTCAACTGTCAGTTCTTTATGAGGTGTGTTGGCAAACCAAGTATAATCTCGACTCTGAGGCCATGGGAGAGGATTCTTGTATCCAGCTGGGGCAGGAATCAAACACTTGAGGAGCTCGTCTTTTTCGGGGCAATGACGCTCCCTGTAAATCAATTTGTCCCGTGGATATTTTAAAGAACGTTCAATGTCTTCACAAGGGGTGTACTCGCTGTATTTCATGTCACAAGGTTCGAAAGTGGTGTAATTAGACCCGCTGTCAGCGCTCAGTGAGTCATGATGGGTGCCAAAATCAAGGCCATCTATTGTTTTGCTGGGTGAACGGACAAGCTTCTGGTCTTGGAAGGAATCGGATTTAATTTCGACAGTATTGCTGTTCTGCCAGGAACCTAAGATGTAGAAAAAGAAACATAAACCACCAACACTGACCATCCATGTCACTTTCTTGCGCTTCGCGACTTCAAGAGTATGAACCTTGGGTGATCCTGGCCCGGCGTTCCCAAGAATACCTATCCAGATGTTAACATGTTAGTAAGCGGCAAAGAAAGGTTGAACTACATTCCTGTCAAGAATTCCAGTCAGCATCCGACAGAAATGATAACTACGCGCCGAAAATTCGATACAATTCTAAATTCAGTAACGCCTCATCGTGTTGCTTGTTCACAATTTTCACCGATCAAAGAGGTCACATTAAGTAGTAAGTTGGAATAAAATTTGATTCAAGAATGTTGACTGCTTGCGATTACGACACGAAATTGGTCACACAAATCTGTAGACTATCTCTCCAACAAAATCTTTCACTATCATCAAACGAAGGGCTGGGTACGCAGTTGACTAAGTGAGTAAACTCCTTTAAAGCAGACATTTAGGCTTATCAATCTTCCCCTAGCGAGTCAAATGCAATAAGAACACAGCGTTGGGTGAGCCCATAAAAAGGATAATGAGTCTCCAAAAACTCCAGGGTTGAGAGGTTTAAGGGTTAGTTGCTGAAATTTACCGATGAAGGTGTTTGAAGCGTAGGCCATTGCGAAAACTCCAACTGCAACAAAAACTGTCACACTATCCGCGATATAAAGACTACAATATTAATTATTCCTCTATTTCTTCAAGCACAAAGCTGTTCATGCTCCATTCCTTCATCAGCTGCACACTCTGAAACCTTCTCAAGGTTAGATCCCAGAGATAACATGTGGAAAGTAGATCTGAAATTAAGAGGACGAGGGCGCTCAGGAGAATTTGCGACGGGACGCGCACGCGAAGTGACTAGCGGAAATAAATGTCATCCTGAATAACAACACAGAAGTAAGAAGATTCACTACGAATCTTCCCACTTCATGAAGAAAACTCGCTATACAATATCCAGACGCAGGAAGATATTTGTCAAGCGTGGTTATAAATTGCTTGGGTTAGTACACAAGGTGAGGCACTCAACAGATAATTGACGCCAATACTGTTAACTCGGCTCAACAGTAAGATAACAGTGCAATGAATGGCGGCAGAATGAGTACAACCTCGGATAGTTCAGCCAACTACACTTCATGCATCTAAATTACGACCTCTAAACCAGTGAACATAATTATTCACGTAGATGAAATATTTTTCGGTAGTTTGAGGCCCATCCTGAACTACCATCCAGTATATGGATTAGTACCGCAACGACATCACAAAATCCATACGACGCACAACTTCCTCAAACAAGACTTCTCTTCAACAGTGAATACCATCACACCTTCCTACCTTGCAGCTGACACAACTACAGCACACAATTCCTTCAACTACACAACACCACTTCTCTCACAAATTCATGAGGCCGAAACAAATTAATACATCGAAAACCCCGCGCACATACACTGATCCCCGAATGGCAATGTCACACGCACGATGGTCTACGTCCTGACTGCATGACACAAACTTGGAAAACAAACCAAAAATCCTAAGGACAAATCCACAACACAAACCCGCTTCATATCGAGGTTCGCCTCCAGTATCCGTCGAGGGAAAGGCCAACTCGCGAAAAGAAGCAGAGCGCGGCTGAGAGATGGAGCGAGGCTGTGAAAACAATGCAGAGCAGCCGAGAGCATTCATGAAGGAATGGGAAGCATTCATGGACAAGGCATACCATGGAGCCAACGGCGGAGCGGGGGCGAGAGAGACGAAAGGCAGGGTGGCTTGGCCCGGCTCACCCCGGCCCCGACCCGTCCACCACGGTGATTCTATTACCGTGGTTTCCACGGTGGTGGGGAGCTTAGTGGGGTGAATAGAGCAGGTTCTAGAAGCGGACGCAGACATGATGGTGAATGAATCAAGAAGAGGCGGTGATGGGTCCGTGATGATGAGAAAGATTGGGGATGCGGCCTCTGTTGCCGTGGATATATTGGTTTTTTCCCCATCCTTGTCAATGTATAGATATGGTAGATTTTGTGGTGAGGACCATATCTGCCACGCGCGGATATTTAACCATCATTTAGGCACACACCAAAAAAAATAATGTATGGATGGATGGATGGATTGATGTGTAGATGAATGTATGTATGTAAATACTTTAAAAGCAAAATCACTATATTGAGATTTCAATGTTTTCAAGAACAAGAAATTTCCCATGAGTTTTCTTTTCTCAAACATTTTAACAAACTTGGATAATCTTTTACTTCAAATAGTTGTGTATTTAGTATGTGTGTTATAATAATCTTATTATGAGATAAGTATTTCAACAAAAAGAAGGACACCCCAAACATAGTAGAAAATTAGACTGTATAGCTTATTATACTAGCAGGGAACCATTCATTGGTGAGAGCTCGTGCATGCAGCGATTCCTGAACAGTAGAAGGGAAGAATATGCTCTGAGGATTTGCACAAACAGGATGAGCTTTACTTTTCAAATGAGAACATCAACCTGGATGTGAATGAAGCGGGGGCACGCTGCTGCTGGTATTGCTTGGAAATAGAGTTTTGCATTCACAACACATTGTGGCCATTTAAATATACATCCACAAAGTTGGGTTTCAGGGGCACCTGAAATTCGCAGAAAAGAATGAATTCGCCACAACCTGCTCCAAATAATGAATTCACCTGGTCTTATACAAACCTATTTCCGTGCTGCAGCACACTTATCATTGTAGGTGGATTGCATACTTACTGTTTGCATTCTCAAAATTCTCCTCTAGTGTCTAAACTATTTTTATTTACGGAACTGCATAACAGCACAAAGGTTCACCACATGCCACTACATGAATGCGCAAACTATACCCAGTGTAGGAAAAGGATACAAATCGGTAATCTGGATGATCATCGTTAGACTGAAGTGAGCGCTTCCTGATAGATATGTAACACCTAATTCTACCAAGTTGACAAAGGGAGGAACCTGGAGCAGGTCGATCTGCAAATGCCGAAGTCTCTGTGGGTACTCTGAGGAAAAGAACCACTTCTGCAAGACCACATCTTCAACAAAACTTGATTGAGTTTCACTGAAATACATATAGAAAGAGTGACTTTGTCAACGCTTCAAGCAACGCCACGCATGGCAATGAAACCCCCCCAGGTGGAGAAGTTGCAAGGAAGGCTTGCAAAATCTAATTTATGTTCATTCCTCAAGCAGTTAGCCAGCGTTGTTTAGCATAAATTCATTCGACCCGTAAAAAGAATAGCGAGCATTGTTTCTCATAATCGTCACCTGCACTTGAGCGAGGGAAAGCTAAAACTAGAGCATTTGCAACCAAAACAATAGAACGTAAGTCACAAAATGTGACCAAAGCGACCATATCACATGCTTTTTCATCAAGGGTTAAGTCAACATGTACAAGAAAATAAAATAAAAATTGAAAGTCATAGTATTGCTGAATTAGGTGTCGTGAACCATGAAGTTCCGGCTTGCAGGACTGCTAACAAACTAGGCCCCTGAATTTGTATTCTACACAGTTCAATAAAAATCCTCAAAACACAACTCAGTACACCGAGCAATCCCGTGAGGTAAAAGTAGTACTAACGCATGATAAAAATGTAGCTGCGTCACTACCTCCTTTACAAAATGCATGCCGTAGGAGAAATGGAACCAAAAGGCATGCTATTTTTCGCCGTCATAATGACGATGCGCACAAAACATGCCCAAGTACACACACTACTATGTTCTTGGAGGACACTCGAGTAACCAAAATAAAGAGATGATTACCGCCTCCAAGCCTGTAAGCCGCCTGTGAATCAACCAACTTCCTCACTTCAAAACTACTAGATCTTCTTCGCTTCGCACCTGGTAAAATCTTTGTGCCCAACAATGCCAAGGCATGAAATTGTTTCTGGCGCTTTTGAATTGTTCATATCGGCCAATGCGTTATCAACCCCAAGAAGATCTGAGCATCCATAGTTTTGGTAAATGGGCTGTGACGACAAAAATCAATGGCAGGCACCTCCATGGCTTGCACTCCCTTCGAGATTAACGAGATGAATACAAATTCAGCAGGCAGAGACTTAGAGTGATGCACTAAACCCTAAGTCTCTGGAGAGATTTTCTACGACTGCTGGTTACATGCTTAGACGTTAACGATTTCAAGACGTCAATGATGGTAATCCTTCGATCTCCTTCACGAGAAGCTCTTTTTCTTCGTCAAACTGCTCATCCTCTTTGTCAATATGGAAGTTGTCCAAAAACCTAAGCAGCCTCTCACGATTCTTGGCGAGTATATTGATTATCTGAGGTGGTTTCTGAGGGTTTGCGACGAACACTTTAAACACGTGAAACGCAGACGCCTGGATGTTTTTACTGGGATCAGATATTAAAGTCATCATCACTCGCAGGTTTCGCACGTCCGAGATGTACAGCATCATGATTGCGGAGTTTGAGCGCTCCAACAAAATGTCGCTTAGAAGCTTAAGAGATTGCCGTCGCGTAACATAATTCGTGGATCGGAGAAGTTTGTCGAAATTCGCGAAGAAAGATGCATAGCGCGAAGTCAAATATGCCACCACCACTGAGTTGTGCCTAGTGAGAAGCTCCTTAAATGTAGCGAAGGCATCTGATGCAACATCGAAGTTAGGTGTCTCTACAAACTTGAAAAACATCTCAAAGCTCACAGACTCCAGCATGTACTTCGCCAACGTCGGATACCTGGCGCACTCCCGCAGCATGGTGCCACAATTTAGAGCCACTTCCTTATTTTCGTAGCACAGAACTAGGTAATCCAGGAGCTCAGTATGACTTTCAAGATACTCAAGTCCGTATTGCACAGCTCCAACTTTAATTCTCAGCACCGCGCACCAAATGTGCACGCAATCCTTGCGCGCTTCCCAATCCAGTGTTGGGATCTTCTGCACGATAAGCTCCAGGACATCAATTTTGCACGCTTCCTGGATGACCTCCGCAACAACCTCGGCATTGGGCTCTGTATCGGTGTCCCCCAAAAGCAGATCCTTCATCACCTTAATACTCTTATCGACCTCCTCCAGTGATTTCTCCAGGAGTCGTGTGTCGCCCATCGTCTTCGTATCAAGCGACGACAGAGAATCCTTCACCTGCCGCACCAGCTCTGCGGGCGTCTTGGGCTTCAACTGCTTGAAGAAAGAGAACGACATTGCTGCAGAATTGTGGAAACTAATCGAAAGGAAAGAACTAATGCCTCAATTCGAAGGACGTACCGATTTCTCCCTTCTCCTCGCAACTCAGACGAAAACCTAGAGGAAGCCTGAGGGCATTTCAACTCTCCATAGCTGAAGAAATACCTTCCAAAGACCACGACCCTTCCATGAAAGACCTAGAAAACAGAACTTCACGAGCACAGCTAAATAATCAACGAACACTTAATATGTCCAATTTCCGGGGCTCTCGCAACTCAGATGCTCCACAGCAAGTGAACTTCCAAAAAAAAAACTTTTCGACACACGGCAGCAATCAAAACTACCTGATCAAACAGCCGCCGACTATAGTCATCAACACATGAATCCATACGAAAAGCGAAGTCTACAACTCTCAGAAAAACAAACAAAATTTGCCGGAAACTACATTAAAAATTGACAGTCGTGGAGAGTACCCGAAACTCAGTCATCCGGTAAACGAAACAACGATCGTCACAATCCAACCATGAGAGAATTGAACACAACAAGTGCGCCATATACGAGATCCCACGGAGGAGGCGAAGAAGCAATGCAGGTAGAATCAGAAAAGACACCACGGCCTCGCGACGGGGATGGATGAACGGTATCACTCCGAGATGGATGACGTTTTACACTTTCATCCATGAGGTCGTTATCGTCTCGCTGACGTGGCTACTTGGTTTACACTCTATGCTCGTTAATAAATATTATTATACGCACAAATTCACGATATTGTGGGCTTATTACCAACATGGTTTTGATGTTTCTAGTCTAATGGACATGTGGGTATTAGTCTATGAGATTAGGGTAAATGATTTTTTTATGAATAAGAATCAAAATGTATTAGGAATGGCCTTCAATTTGAGTTAATTTTATTTGTTTAGCATATACTCATTAGAAAGATCGAGTTATTTAATTTTTACTCTAATAGTAATTAAATGAATTAGTGAGAGAGAGAGAGAGAGAGAGAGAGAGAGAGTTTGTTGGAGAGTTTATATTGCAAGAGGTTGGTAATTTTTTGTATGACTTTTTACTATTGATATCAAATTGACAAATGATGTGATATTATTCTCTTGAAAATTCTTTGTTGTCTAAATAAATATAATTTAAAAGTAAAATTAATTTATATTTTTAGTATATGAGAGATTCTAATTTTATTTACATGTTCAAAGCAACACATATTGATTGGCATTAAAAAGATGTGAATAAATCAATAAATACTCTTTTAATAATTACTAAAAACACAAAAACGTCAATTAGCTATTCATTACATATTGAGTATCTAAAATAACAAATTCAAAATACATCATGTGTTCAATATTTTCATATTTTGATTAAAATAAATTAATTGAAAAACATTTATAATTTGGATTAAAAAATTACATCACAATAAATATCAACAATTGTTATACATATAAAATTACATTTAAAATTCTATAATTTTCAGAATCTTTTATATTCCTTATGATCCCTCTAAACTTTTATAAAGTATTCATTGGATCATTAATTGAACGGTTAAGTGATAAATTTGTATACCATTTTTTTAGAATGTTTCTTAAGAAGCTCATGTGACAAATTACTTAAAGCTTGGGGATTTAGTTTCTATCTATGTGAGGAGTTTGTAAACAACAGGAGTAAATGTGTTCTTGTTTTGTTAACTTATCTCTAGAATTTTATTTCATGTGCATCTTGGCACCTCCATTATGATATCTTGTTATGATATAATACTACTCATTTTATTCATCCTATTATGCTGTTTAAAAATAAAAATCATAAAATTACTTTCATGCATTTTTTTAAAGAATTTTGATATTTTTTATGATGTGAATTTTATTAATAAATCAAGGAGTTGGCATGAACAATAGAATAATTTGAATCTTTGTACCATCTAAAGATAATACATCTTTTTTAGAAGCTACAATTGACAAGGAATATTTTGAAAAATGCAACAAATAATGGTATTTTTTAGAAATAAATAATAGTATTATTTTAAAACTTGTATTTTAAAATTCCTCAATTAACTCTTCAGAAAAAAAATCTCAAAAGAAGATATTATCACAAAGAATTTATTACCAAATTTTGATATACATTTAAATATAAATATAAATATTATTCAACATAAAGATATTGTTAATTTATTATATATAGTTAAAGAATATTTATATGTATCGAAGAAGTAATAATAATAATTTTTTTATTTCATTCCTATATTGTGGGAAATTTGAGGAAAGACTATCACATTTAAAAAAAGATTATGTGCATGAACGTTTTTCAATTGCAATTAACAAAGAAAATAAATAAAATAAGTACCTTTCAATAAAAAAACACATGTATACATTTTAAGATACTTTGAAGACCATAAAATCATGTTCACATTATTTGAAAACATGCATATAATGTTGTGTGCGCTTAGCTTGTCAATTTTTAGGGGGAAGGTCTCTTTGGCCTTTTCTTGGGCTCGCTCAGTGGATGGCTAGTAACACTTCCAACACCTTCCAGGATGACACTTGCAAAACTCTCTAGAAAGCTCTTACTTCATCGAGCATGAATATGCGGAGTTATTTTTAAGTTCACGGAGGAAATCAAGCACGGTGGGTCTTTTTTGATGGAATGATCACCGTATGAAGTGGTAAAGGCAATGCTTGGTCATGTTTTTCCCACTAAAAACTTCAAACGCTGCGTTTTCAATATGATGAGCGACGGGACGATGGTGTGCATACGGATTGAAACTGTCGTGTTACGATTTTGCAGGCACGAGATGCATTTTTCAAGTGTCTGGAAGCTGATTTTGAGCACCTGACATCGACAGACACCGATTCTGTGAAACTCCTCTACCCTTCACGGTGCAAACCTGCTCGGGCGTTCCTCGAGCAGAATTGTCGACGGCCATGGGTGAGCAAAACCCTTTTCCACATCTCCGAAAGACTAAATCGTTCGCGTTTTGTCTCGTGTTTCTGCGCTTGCCTTCACATCTTCTGATGTAGAAGTTTACTATTCCGTTACAGGTGAAGCATTTTGACCGTCGATTTTACGCTAAGCGGAGGGTGAAGCATCCGGTAGACACGGGTGACAAGCAACATTACCTTCGAATAAAATTGATTTGCAACCCGGGAGATACTAAAGCAGCCAATGCTTACTAGTAAACTGCTTTTTACATTTTATTTAAATACAAATAAAAATAAAAAGAAATTCATAGCTGTCTCGTGGCTTATAAATGCACATACAAGGACAAACTAGCTGTGAGCATGCATGAGCGGTGCATGGATTTTGCATTGCGTGTATTGACAGACACCAGATTAAACCTTCTGAAAATATTTGGGAGTCTGATTTTGTGCTAAGCACAGCAGTAGTGATTTTTCCCTTTTCTTTCCTTGTATTTTTATCTTGTTCTTCCTGCTCAATCATTCTCTAATGGTTAGTGCTAATTGTATTGACTCGCATCTGTTGAAATCAAGGGACTGCCTCATGCTGCCGACTTTGATTAGAAGCGAATGCGTCGGTGGGCTATGACAGACCGCAGTACGCAAGCACTGGCGATGATAAAGTAACTCGGCATGATCTCGTCAGGAGAATGAACAAAGATTCAGAACTATTCCAGTCAGAAACAATATAACTTCTCCACATTTTCTTAAGGTTTCTTCTTTGTGCATCTACCGTAATATAATCACCTCATCCAATACAGTTTTCTCTAGCAGCAAAACCTCATACTCGGCAACTTGCTGCTGTACATACTGAACAAGATGATGCAGCCAAGACGCACAGTATCCGTGGAACTTTACTTATGGAATCCAGTCAAAGCTGCAGAACGAGCCACAATTGATGCACTTAGTATCAAAACCACAACGTATGGTCTCTAGTCCAAGCAACGTGTCAATTCAACAATGATCAATACTATCCCCAAGAAATGCAACAGATAGCATAGTTGACTAAACCCAGGCCCCGCATAAAAGCCAAGATTACAAGTTGGACTCATTTCCGAGGGTCCGGGTAAAGAAGCATGTTGAATAGAGGGAGCTTTGTTACAAGAAGAGTATTCATAGTTTTGAGATATTTTTAGGGGGCAATACTCTACATAAATAAGCTGGTTAGTGGAGAAACATAAGTGCTCCTGGACTACTCCGGAATAACCAGCGAAGAATTCAAATTGCTGAATGTACACCGATGAAGCTACAGGAAGCCTCATAACGACTACCGTCGGGTAAATGAATGATGACTTAACCTAGGGATTCCCTAACCAACTCATAGGCTAGAAAGCAAGCTGCATTAGCAGGTACACTTCGAGCCATTGCAGGACCAAAACCTCTGTAGAGCCCCTTCACTCCTTCAGCAGCAAAAACCTTCCTAAATGCGTCCATTGTGCCCTTGTACTTGGGATTCCGATGATCATCTACCTGGATGACACTCTTGATCACGTCAGTTGGATAGACAGATACCCAGAACATCGCCCCAGCAACACCTCCAGCAAATAGCATGGAACCTCGGCTAAGTTTTGAGGTATCTTGACCTGAGATGCCAAGCACAACACAAGTCAATATCCGCGTAACCATTAAAAATTGCAAAAGTGTGGCAGACTTCATTGTTTATGAAAGAGGATCGAATGGATATAGTTCAACAGACTACAACTCCGAACACAGGTCAATTATCAGGAAGATTGAGCATATTTCACGAATATCACTATCTTCGTCTGCAAAAACAACTATAGTCATTCGAATGTGGCGGATCATCTAACAACATCCGTCAGTATCCTTAGGGCAAAGTTAGTAATTCAATTCAAGGGTCAGAAGATGTATATTGTACCTCCTGCAAGGTATTGTTTGGTAGCTTCATAAGCACCGAACATAGCTGCGTTACCCGGCACCTCGCGCATTAAAGTGGGAGTAAGTCCTTTGTACAATCCAAGAACACCACCTTCGGATTTTAGTACATGTTTAGCAACATCGAAGGGACCATTGTAACGTCCGGCAGGAGCACCACCAATCCCTGCAAGAACAGGAATCTCCACGGTGGTAGCAAGCGCACTTTGAGCTTGAAGTCGACACTTAACGAGCTCAGTCGGACAAGCTACCATTGAGCATGCTACTCCTGCTCCGGCACCTGAAAAAAAAATTAGAACGACAGGTTAGAAATCAAGAACACGGAATATTAATTTACGTTCAGAAATGACTTCCACAGGCATTCATGTTAACAAATTATAATACTCAACAATCCACTGTCAAGTCGCATCAGATCTTGAGTGTTTACTAGTTGATTAATGAGAACAACGAAATCGAAGGTGGTGTATGCCTACATCTGGTGCAGACCAAATCTCTCGCGCTACTCTTGTAAGTGACATAGAAGTTGCGACGGGAGCACGTGAGAACGTGACTACTTCATGAAAACGTATGGAATTCTACACAGAGGAAGAACGAATACGATGGTTGCCAAATGCTGCCTTAGAGCGCACAATGCCATTAAAACTCCTCAAGCTCACTTCCCTACAACGGTTCCTCTCGGAATTATTAGTGTATGAAAAGCACTAAGGTCGCTCTCTGGAAGAGAAAGGCACCACTATTTAGAAAACAAGAAAAACGGGGGAGAAACACATTCTACACGTTCAGAAGAAAGGACGAACGAAACAAGGTTTAAGGAAAAAGATTTGACTCAAGAGGAAAGTAAACGAATGAACAAATCGCGCCGAGATTTAATCACGTAATTTCTAACTCACAAGTGCAATCATGGAAAAAAATACGATGCCTAATCTAAGATCTCACTAAGGAAGTATTGTTTGGAAGAATCAAACCATACACTGGAGTCACAATGCAAGTAACTAGTTGCAAAGCGGAGGACGCGACCAAGAAATCCACGTACCAGCAACCATTTGCTGGCCAACGGAGAGATGAGCGCCAGGGGAATCACGGAGAAGCCCTTCCATTTGACCCCTAGCAGTGAATAGAACCGCGTTGAAGACGGCAACAGTGGCGAGAGGGGCTCCCATGCCTTTATACAATCCCTTGGGCCCCTCCGCCGCGAGGGTCTGCTTCACGGCATCGATAGCGCCACTGAACTTCGGCGGGTGCCCTGGCAAAGGAGCGGGCTGCGACTGCAGCTTCACCTTGATGGTATCAAACGGATGCCCGACCAGCAGTTGCGCCACACCAGCGAATGTCCCGGCGGTCAGATCCTTCGCCACAGCGTCCGACATTGTGCCGCTCTCACTCACTCACACTCACACTCACACAAATGCAGGACCGAAGCGCCGCAGGGACGATGAGCTCATGAGACGCAACGGCCTGGAAGTGCAGAGGAGGAGAGCGAGGCGGACATGGGACAGGGCGGGGGCATAGACGGATTTGAACTGGTGGCGATGGTGGTAGAGCGTGAGCGGTGGAGGAGGGGGAGTGCATTCGCGGTGCAGAGGAAAAGCCAGCAAATTCGTGGCTCCTGCAGCATTTCTGTGCAGTAGCACTCATACTTAATCCACTCTGTACCTCCCTCCCTGCCTTTTCTGTTCGTCCTTATACCTTTTTCGACTCGATTTCCCCTTTATTTTCTGTTCATCCACATTTAAAAGTTTATTCTTATGGTGTTTTTCTTACCTATGTTGTTGTTGTTGTTGTCGAATGTTTTTTATTCAATTTATTTTGTACTTTTGACTGGTTGCATTCTACAGTGGAGTTTTGAATGATGTTTCTACGACCCACTTTTGGAACCAGAGTAAAAACATTTTTCTACGTGTGTTGGCAATTTGATTGCGTTGCGTTAATTTAGATGTACAAATTATGAGTTTTTGTCTTAAACAAACCTTGTGCGTTTCATATTGCTGGTCGCCTATTTTTTTTTATTAATATTTTTGATACTTCAGTGTAAATTTTTCATATAAAAGCTTATTGAGAGTGGTCGAAAATGCTTTTGCAATTAATGTTTTTTTTTGACATTGAAGCAATTAAACGTGTCTTATAGATTATTCATTTTTGGGTCAAAAAATTCCTCTTAATATATTGACATGTTTTGATATATTTGTTAACTGTAAATCCCATTATCTCTCCACGATTTGTCTCTGGATTGTTCACGGAGATGTGGTTGCTAACTGAAGATAAGTGAAGTATGAGCTAATACCGGTACCTCATTGACACACCTCCCATCACAATGTATCAATTTTAATAAGCTGCCAGGAGTAACACTAAAGATGTTACAATATAAGCACTTGCTAGATGAAGAGAAACTCTGCATCTTTTCTCAAGACCTAAAGGAAACCATGCATGTATAACTAGGATTTAGATGACCGGGCACAAAATATTCTCTTGCGTTACCAGATGAAGTACATTCAACCAAGAATCACCACAGTTATAATTTCCTAATATTTGACAATTAAGAACCCATTCCAGGGATGAAGAGTCCAGGGTGCTTAGCTTGTGATGAAAACTTACTATATTCTACTTGACAGGAAGTGTAGCTATAACTTATGAAGGAATCACCTGCTAAGACCGCAGGTCATAATCATCCACCCGTGCAGCTATTCTTCGGTAAGCAGCCTTACTGAAATTGGGGTCCGAACTTTTGATAAATTTAAGAATTCGTTCTACCTCTTCAAATTTACCTATTTTGCAGTAAGCATCTACTAAAGTACGATATGTCACTTCATCTGGTTTGCACCCAGTCTTATGCATGTGCTTAACAACACTTAAAGCCTCCGGGAACATTCCTCCATTTACATAACACCCCACAAAGGTATTATAGGTGAACGAGTCTGGCTGTATACCATTGCTGACCATCTCATGGAAGATCCGAGTTGCAGAGCTAAGCTGACCATGTTTACTGCAAACAAACAAACAAAAATTCTCCATGTAAGGGTACATTCGAAATTAAGGCATTTACTAGCTCATGCATTAGGATAATATCTAATGATGTCAACACCACAGCATTTGCTCGTACTCTGATTTTGTTGAACAAGCCATTCTGACATAGACCAACGCAAGGGAAAAAAGAAAAAGAAGCAGGACCTTCTATACTTAATACGATAGAATTTCGAAATCTAAATTCGACACGCAAATCAACTACAGAAAACAAGACAAGCACGTTACAAACATGACTTGCCCATATAGGATGCAAACAACATACGAATACCTGTAAGAGAATATAACAGTGTTATAGGAAACAAGGTCCGGTGTTTGCCCTGCAGCCATACACTCTCTCAAAGTAGCCTCGCATTTCCGATACATGCCTTCCCGCCCATACATACCCATCAGGCAGTTGTAAGTTACGACGTCTGGTTCCAGACCAGTACTCCGCAACAAAGCGAAGGTATCAGTGGCCTTGTCCATCATTCCTTTCTTTCCATACATCGAAATCATTGCATTGAATGTGCTGGTATCTGACAAGTACCCATGGTGACGCATTGCCAAAAAGGCATCCTCAGCTTCATCAACCAGACTGCATTTACTGAGAAGAAAACAAAACTGTTAGCACGACCCTCTATCCAAATATAAATCTGCCACGGCAGGTATAGCTCAATTAAAAAAACAGTTTCATTAGAACCAGTAAATTACAATAGTCTGGGAGTTATTATAATACCTGTAGACGAGGACAAAAGTCTTGAGCAAAATCTTAGTAAACGGCACATATATGGTATGCAAGGTGTCAACCATCTCCTTCAGTTTTTCTAATTCTCCACCATTCGCATAAGCATGTAGCATTGAGGCATATGCAATGTCATTTGGCTTGTAACTGCTTCTATTAAGCTCATCCAATATCAACTCCGCATGCTCCCACCGACCTTCTCTGGCAAGCGCAGCTAATAAAGTATTGAAGGTGGCCAGGTCTGGCGTGCAGCCAGCCTGCAGCATACCATCGTATATGCTCAATGCCTGGTCTGAAGATCCACATCTTCCATAAGCCTCAATAAGAATGTTAAAAGTAGCCTTATCTGGCTCAAATCCTGCCTTCTTCATACCCCGAAAAACCTGCGAACAACAGAACAGATCCTCAACCTAAAAATAAGAACTCCAGTAATTGATGTCGAAATTCTTCAACCCTTTCACGAACATAAACAAAGACAGTGAGCTAAGATCCCAATAACACACTCAGCGCGAAGAAATACTACAGTCAATAGCATATATTTTGATCCAACTTGGTCATTAACTTTGCGCTACAAAGAACTGTCTTGTAAGCTTCTGCATAATCCCGACTGTACATTCGAAGCTAGTGGGAAAGAGCCAGAGCTGACATAGCCAAGAAGGTGAATACCGGCTGACCTTCAAAACTTCAGAATACATTCCGTTTTTGCCAAATGCTCCCAATAATGAATTCCAAGTTACAATATCGGGTTCAACCCCACATGCCTGCAACAGAGGATTCAAGCTACACAATGAGGATAAATTCAGTATTTTAGCAGCTCCAGATGCTATTCAAAGAACAGAGTCGGCCCCGAATCGCAGGAAAAACGACATTCCCGTCTAGAATTCTTGAGCCACAGTAACAACCCTTCGGACATAACCATGCGACTTTCAGCAGCTGCCAAGTGCACAAATTAAATCACAAAAGCTTCTGTGTTGAGAGCACAGTGGAATTCCATGTGCTTGATAGACTGAATCACTCGCCACAATGATGCATCAAATAAAAAGAAAAAAGGAAAATTGAAAAGCTTCTCACTTACCTGCATATCCTCAAATATCACCATCATCTCGCTGAAGTTCTTGTTCTTGCCATGCATGCCGATTAGAGCGTTGAATGTGAAAGAATTTGGAGTGCAGTTACTTGTTCTCATCTGATTGTAAATCTCCATTGCTTGCTCGACTTTTCCTGCCCTGCTGTAAGCTGAAAGCAAACTAGTATAAGTAAAGACGTCTGGTTCAATACCTTTACTAACCATTGAGTCTTTCATCTCTGCCGCTGCATTACAAAGTCCAGCTCTTCCAAATGCAGAGAGAAGTTCGTTGTATGTTACAATATTAGGGAGGCAGCCTGCACTTTCCATCTCCTTCAGAACGTTTGCAGCTTCATTGTACCATCCTGCCTTACCATACACGTCTAGTAACGCGTTATAAGTTACCCTATCAGGTGTACAATTTGATGACTTCATCTGAGTAAACAGCTCCGTAGCTTCTTCACATAAAGATCCACTTGCGCACGCAGTAATGGCGGTGTTGTATGTGTATTCGTCTGGTTGAATTCCCTGAGCCTTCATCTCTTCAAAAAGCTCGAGAATATTTTCCCACGATCGACCCTTCTTCCCATACAAATCTATGATCACGTTATAAGTCACAAGGCTAGGCTGCGGTCCAGCTTCTTTCATCTGCTCGAAAAACCCTAAGGCTTCCTTAAATTTACGGTTCCGCGATAATGCAGAGATAAGAGAAGTATACGCATAAACATCTAAAGGATACCCTTCTTCCCTAAGGCTTTTAAAAAGTCGAGAGACAGTTGTAAGCTGTGATTCACGCCCGAGAATTCTCAACATGACAGCAATCGTTACACCATCCGGTCTAAAATTCACGCTTTGCCTCATCCAATTAAAAACCTCCAGTGCCTTATTCCATTGCCCCTCCCTTCCCAACCCCTTCATTATCGACAGAAGCTCACTCGAAGAGAGATTGGGCTCCGAAGTAGTCAAAACACTGCTCACACATTCATCATTAGGCAAAACAACGATCTTCCTCAAAAGCTCCTCTCCACTCTCAGTAAGCCCGCTATCCCACGGCTGCTTCCGTCTTGAATGCATCTTCCCTAGACGCCGCCGCCCGTTTCCTACACCACCACCACCGACACCATTACTACTCCAATCCTCCCGCTGCCATCTGGACACATTCACCACATCCGCCTTATCCCTCCCACTTCCACTCTCTCCTCCAGAATCTCTGCCCTCCATCTCGCTCCCATCCCCCGCCTCCTTACCCCGCCTCCTCCCTTCCAAAACCGGCTCCAACATGGCCAACAAGCTCCCATTCCCAGTCCATGCCGGGGAAACAGGCTTCACCGCTAACGACACCGGCGCAACGCTTGTCAGCCCGTTAGAAACCGAGACCTGCTCCCTCACCACCCCGGATGGCCTCTGCGGTTGCCCCCTTGAGGATGCCCCCGTCAACCCGAGGCTGGCCCGCAGAGCGGCCATACTCCTCACAGCTTGGCTATGGCGGACACTCTGACGCTAGAACGTCAAAATGTTGCAACTTCCAAGACGTCCTGCGAAAGCAGACCTAAGCAAATTAGAATGGATTACTCTTGGATTCCAAAACCCCGCAGGCAGATAACCTCCTCAAGACCTCAATCTTTCCACGTGGCGCTAGCTTATTAGAGATACATTTATCTCAGGTGTCTTTCTAGATCCTCAAATATTCGAGGATCTAGAAAAAGGACCTGGTCGGCGAAGAGTCTTGCTGGCGCCGCGGTGACGATCTTTTTCGAAGATAGCACAGTGCGGATTGACTGACTGAGTGCCGAATTGGATATCGCAAGCTTAGTCGAGTGAAGCGGAATAACGAGAAATACTGTGGCTAGTTTGTAAGTTTTTTCTGGCTGTGGAGCACTGATAGGGGTTGGCAGGGCGAAGCACAATTTGAACGTGGTTGACAGCCCCCTCGGGAAGGGCAAATCTGAGGTGAGTGGTGGAGTTTCTAGGCGAGCGGGTTTAGACAGTTTCTGAGGCTTCTTTTGTTGTTGTAGGATCTAGAGGAAGAATGCGGAGACGGTTTGTTCTGTGTGTGGTGGAGCGGACATTAGTTCCGCTTTGGTCGAAATCTTGTTCTGCTATGTTAGTACTCCAAGTTGCGTTTCATTGCTGCCGATCCTGGCATTTTCACTATACTCACGTGAATTGCTGATTGCTGCAATTTTCTGTTTGTTATTTTATTTTTATTTTTATTTTTCATTCTGGATCATTTCGTCGAGCTTTGCACGGATTGTTATTAGAGTTAATGTTGAATTGGAAAGTTGACGATGAATTAATTTTTAATTGTTTTAAACCATATCGCGAGATTTTTTTCCTGATAATCTCAGTATTCTCTTATTTAATACCCTGGAAACTAAAATGAGGCTTATGTAGCATAAGCGATTTTAAAGTTAAGTTTGAAAGTTTAGTTAAAAACAAGTGTTGTGAGATGATCTTTGCATTTAGTATGATAGTTATCATCGAAAATGCAGAGCAGCATATTGTTTCGATGTGAGGCCCTCAGCATCTGAAGTGAACGTCATGTTCAATGTAGGATGGAGTTATGGAGCAATATTAGACCTCGAGGTGGTCTATTTGAGATGGTTTGTAGATGCTTGCGAATCTGGTACTGTGTTCATGCAAGTTCATGCTTAAGTGTCTGAATGCACAACTGGCCTATGGGACCCGATTTTTCATCTTTTCATGTGGTATGTGTGCAGGTAAGCCTCAGTGCATTTGCATTTCTGTTTTCGGAGCTTGTGCAGTACAACCAAGGAAAAGTTGAAAATATTGCAGAGTTGGAGCACAGATTATGTTCCGCTGCTTCTTTCTGAGTTAAAAAACACTGTTTAACGATGTTTTACTTAGCATGTTTTAGAGTTGTGCATTGAAGGTCGCTCAAGCAGGTGTGTGCAGTGACTGTGTAGTAAAAAGCAAAACCTTTTTGCGTTACTGGTTGATCTTTTGGCGCGAACGTAGCTGTAAAAATAGGCTTTTTCTAACCTCTGCTTTACATTTTTGTTGACAACATATCGTATCGTGCTTGTGGAACCTCAACAAGCAGGTTGGAAGAGGCTGGGTTTGGGGTTGGCATCCAGATACTTGAATTATTATGCCACAGAGAGAAGGTATAGGTACATAGTTTAGTCAACATCCACCTCGTACATCTTTACAGTTCTCCTGGTACGGGCATATGCAAGGAAGCTATTTTAGATTTCTCACCTGCACAATCAAGATTGTTAAATAAATGATTAATAAAAGAATTCATTTGCATGAAGTTCATATGTGCCGATCGAACTTGATGGAAATGCGTAGCTGTGACGTTCCTAGAATTCTTAGAATGTTATTTAAATGTGACTAAGATTTCATTGAGGACGTTCAAGGTTAAACACAACACATGTTTATAACCAAGTGCCTACATGCTCGTTAGCTGCCAAGATTATCTTTGACAGATAAGAACGATGCATGATCTTAGAACTGGTTGTCTGACTCTGCGAATGTGGAATGAGATTTCAGGCTAACAGGAGAGAGACAAGAGTTCTAGGCATTCTTTCATTCGTCCACAGTACTGTGTAGAAGTCCCTGATTGGAAAGGTATTTAACGTGGCCTTTCTGATCAAGATACTATTATATCGTAGGTTTTTCAATTTTGTGTGTTAAGTGCTCCCACACTGAGACTGTTTGGGTTTTTTCCACTCAGGTTGCGGATTCTTTAGAGAAGGGTACGGAACATGAAGATGAATACATGATCAGCGAGAAGGAACTGCTTGTAAACAAGTTAGTCTTTCTCGTCTTTCTCGTCTATCTCCTCTTCTTTGAAAGAGAGGCATGCCGATCGTTGCGATTGAGGCCTTAAGTCGTTTTGAATATTTGAAGCTTGGGTGGATTCAGATTTCTTTCTCATCAATATTCTGTGCACCAAGATTACTATAAGTTGAGTAAATCTTATTTGAACATGGCAGCATGTTCATTTAACCTTGCACAGTTTTCCTCCAATTCTAATCCCCTTGGCTAATCAACTTTTGATTCTGAAAGATGCATCTCAGTATTTTTAATTTCACTGGAGCATCTTCAAAACTTCTTCTCAGACTCAGCAGATTACATGGAAATATTATAGGTCAACTGTAGTTCAGTATGAGTAAAATATTCAATCACATGTTGCGTACACTTGCAGCCCTATCTAACGAACCTGAATGTTGTGTTTGACTCTTCATTCATGAAATGCTAATCTTCAGGTTCGTATCAGTTCCAGCGAGTATGGGAGGCTTCAATTGTGGTACGTTTGTAGCGGGTATTGTCAAGGTAATTATGTCTCCAATTTATCCTATCGCACTTATGCTTCATTGCTGTCAACAATCCTTCGTAGAATTTCCTTCCAGTCATATTATCTCGAGGTTTAAACTAAAACCTAGTAAACTAAAGTCTATAATCCTGTCAAGCTTATGACCTTATACAACGTTTCGTGTAGGGAGTGTTGGATGGAGCTGGCTTTCCAGCAAGCGTAACAGCTCATTTTGTTGCAGTGGAGGGTCAAACTCGATCGCGCACAACTATACTGGTTAAATTTGCTGAAGAGGTACATTATGATTCTCGCTTCCGCCACTTAATTCCGTAGGTTTTCCAATTTGTGGTGCTGTTTTGTTGAAGTAGCAGGTATTGGGTGTGTAAGTCAATACTCTTGTAGTGGAAACTCCTTGTCTTCTCACAATATTGCTAATTACTTCCATTTACTGGATGATATTTTTCTTTTTGTTGATTTATTTGCGTGATCCACTTCCAGGTTGTCCAGCGAGATGCCCCTCTTGCCTGAAGGCAGTATCTGGCAGCCTTAATCAAGCCAGATAATTTAGAATTAAAGAGTGCGGATCTGAACTGAGTAGTGTTGTGTTGGTGAGGGGATTGAATCTCCTCGGGAACTTGAGAAGCTCAAACACAGAGCTCTTTGTACCTTAGTTATGATGCATCATAACCTATGCTGCATCTGAATAGAGTTTCAAATACGTCATCTTTCTCATGACACGGAGATTAATGGCTTCATTGTTCAAGCTGGTTTACCATCATATGGTTGTTTAGTGAGTGGAGGATACGTGGTTACCTTCAACTCTAGTGCACATATTGGAATTACAGAAACGGTTTAACTTCCTACTTCATGTGTCTAAAACTAAGAGCTAAACTTCAGTTGTTGGCAAGATCTTGATTCTCAGAAGCCTAGGTCTTCATAATGTAAGGATATCATTTCACCTACTCAACGATGAACAAGTTTTGCATGCCTTATGGGGACGAAATTGAATGGACTGCACCTTACCATCTTTAGGTGGTAGATGCTCAATGGAAGTCATCGTGTGTAAAGCAGTGAGTAGTTATTGATTATGCTCAATGGATTGATGAAATTGATAGGGGTGGAGACCATGGTATCTATTTTTGGTAATTACTTGGACAGTTGAATCCGACGCTGGGATTGCCCAAGTGCACTCTCATGACAATCAAACCTCCCTATTCTTCTTAAATTGAATTATCCATGCAGTGCAGAAACCTTTCCTCTGTTTTTTGATTTGCAGTTGCTGGAATTTCTGTGTCTTGTGCAGCATTAGTGCAGATATAGGGCACAGCTGAAGAGTACCACAGGTTATAGTTGCATGAAGCATGCAGGCGGATACATCAAGGCTACTCAACGCCTCATTTTAGCAAAGAAAACGATGTACACTTCAGCACAAGGTTGAAAACACGGGCTTCGTGGAGTCAGGGACAAAGGACTTTGATTTTGACCAGTAACCATCTCTCGTTAGTCGACCCAACGGATTGGGAAGAATAATTCCACCTGTCATCTATATGGTTGCGGCTCCTATGCGTCCTGTCCATGTGGTGGTTGATCGCTACGTGGCGCTTCTGCATCTCACTCATCGATTTGGTACAGTCAGTAAACTGCCATGGTCACTGAAATCTCTTCTAGAATTTCGTACAGGCAAGCTTTGCCATAATTTGGATCATACCCCTGTATATTTATATGAATGAAGGCATGAACTTTGCAGCTCTTGCTTGAAATCGACGTCCTAGTGTTGTCACCGGTTGTGAGCGAGATTATCACGTGCTGGATAACAGGTAGTTTTGAGCGACAACAAGTTGGCCTGTTTTGGTTTTCATTTGAAAGCGTGTATTGTACAGGAAGAGGGTAGAGAAGGCTGCGCCTTTGAATGAACTCGAGCTTAGATTGTGTTTGAACTTTTGCTACGAAGTTGAAAGTATTCAATCTGCAGCTGAGCATGGAGACGAAGCAGGAGCCCCATGAGAGGATTAAGAGGCCAGAGAGTGTGATTCCATCTGCACCTGAGAAGCCCCAGGAGGGTCCTCTGAATGAATTGGCGATTGCTGAAAAGGAGGCCGACAAAATAGCTTTGTACAAAGAAGCTGGAAAGGAGACTCCTATAGAATCCCAAGTTGGTCTCAGTCCCGAGCAGCATGATGAGCTACAAAGTGAGATCCAGGAGAGGAAACACCAGTCTTCAAGTATGTTGCTGTGTTGAAACTGACGTGATCGACAAGTTAGGTTTGGAATTATAAGCAGGCTGTTTTAAGATAAGCGGTAGATGTGGCGGTTTTATTTTTGAGTGTGGTACAGGTCCATGTGTTTGAAAGCAGAGTTACTTATAACGTGATCATCGTTTACATCGCTAAATCATCTAGAACTTTACTGTGCGATACGATTATTTATTTGTGGTGCTTGTCGGTTCAGTTAGCCCACAGCAAACATATTGATATCGTGCATCACAAGCTGCAATCTGCAGGAACCTGTTTTGTGTTCCAACTTTTCACTGGACATCTCAAGACATGTATTACTATGTAATGTTTTAAAGTAAACTTGTGTATTAGATTTGTTGGTTCTTTGTGATTTTATTCATTTCAAATCCACAGTTTTACCGAATTGATTAAAGCTTGAAATGAAGAATCTTGTAAAAAATCCATTTGGCCATTACTCTATATTATCACCAAATTAACCTCAATTTATCTATTTAAAGAATCTTATTCTCATTCGTCTGCTATCAACATAGAACTAAGACTTTAATGGATCCTGTCATCACAAAATCTATCCGTTCAAATTTTAAAATTGTTTAGAAAGTTATACAATTCAAGTATGTGTTTAAGGTACATTGTAATACTCAACAAAAATTTAAATGAATTTTAAATTTTATTTGTAACATAATAAATTTATAACCATAAAAAATATAAAGTATTTGTAAAAAATGTTACAAAAAGATAATTTTCTCTTACATAATTATTAGAACCACAAGGTTTAGATCCAGAAAACTCAACCAATCACAACTAGTATCAAACAAAAATTAGTAATTATTTCCAGCCAAATGTAGTATGTATGCAACAATGTTTTAGAGGTCCAAATAAATTTACTACCCCTTTGATTGTAAGAATGAAATGTATCAAGAATAAAATCTGAGATTAAAAAGAAGAAAAAAGAAAACAATTCAAGTCTCCTCCTCATTCAAATCAAGAAAACTTAAATGCTATAAATAAGTCCACTTAATGGCAAAATGGCAGAGAACATCTGATGCACTGATCTTTTTAATACAACATTTTCAAAAAATCGTTGAAGACAATTCTATCAATACCTAACACACACTTCAAGCAAAGGAAAGAACACACCAAATCATATTAAACTCATTCCACTATTCTATTAAAAGTACTTTGCTGGCATCAGCAGCAGAAAAAGCGAAAGGAAAGGAAAGGTCAATGCGGGGACGCATGAATAAATCGAGATAAGTGATGGATGAATGAATTCTTCATCCCACGTGGCAATGGGTCCAGCTGGCATGGACTGAAACGTGGCGCCTCCGAGATCCGCCCCGCCAAAGCTGACGGTGAATCCTCACTGTCAAGCTTTTTCTGACTCACATCGCCTCCTCCTCGGGCTGACTTAGCTCCTCGTCGTCGGCGTCTTCGGATCACTTACTGTGAATCTGTGTGGAGAATTGAATCCCGCAAACTATTTCCACAACAGCTTGGCCACACTCGCACACACGGTTTGGTGGCTAGCAAGGCTGGAGTTTTTCTCAAATTTCTTTCGCGTTTTAGAGACGAATCGAGAACAATTAGATTTGTTTGTGTTTGTGTGTGTGAGTAGGAGGAGGGAAGTATTGCATGCGGTTTGAGATTCGAGGGTGGTGATAGAGGTTGTGCCATGGAGGAGGAAGCATTGCATGCGTCGCCGGAGTCGTCAATGGAACAGCAAGGGAAGGAGTCTGAGGATAACGTCAGTAACCGAGGAGCTGGTGCCGGAGAGAAGGGGGTGGAGACCTCGGAGCAAGTGAGGAATCAGTCCGCCGAAGCCGCGCAAACGTGGCGAGATAAGCTGCCGGAGGTGGTGCGTCAAGGCGCGGATCTTGTCAAGGCTAAGGTGCAGCCTCTGATGGAGCACCCATATGTCGCCCAGAGTGCGGAGACGGTGCAGCAGGGGATTCGGCAGACGTCGGCGGTTATCGCACAGAGCGCTGCGGCTGCTCCCGCGAGGTTGCAGCCGATTGTTAACCACCCTTACGTCCAGAAGTCGACGGGTGTGCTCAGCTCTGGCGCGGCGCAATTCAAGCCCCTGGTGGTTAGCACTACTGATATTGTGTCCAGCAGCTTGCAGCCCGTGGTTGGGAAGGCAGCCGAGACGGTGCAGCTTAGTAAAGAGACGGCGAAGAAGATATACTATAAAGAGGAAGGCTACGAATCGGCCAAAATCTTGCCGTACTTCGCAGGCAGCCTCGGGATTTTAATCTTCTGCATCCTCCTCGCAGGTTTGTGTACGCTCCAACACAGAAACCCTCGCCACTGTCCAATACTTACGTTGTGCGTCTTTCCGAATTGCTCAAAATCCTCACAGCACTTAACATTCTTGCATGGCGTTGCTCCAGGCTGGAGTTCTAGCGATGGAAGTTCCAAATACAATGTGGATGTATCCAACATAGTTGCTGATAAGATTAAGCTGCCGAATGGACGGCACTTCGCCTACGTTGAGCACGGCGCCAGCAAAGCGGATGCAAAGCACAACGTTCTGTTTGTCCATGGCCTCATGTCATCTCGACTCTTGGGTACGTCATCTTCGGGATTTTTTTCTGCAATGTCACGCTCATTGCTTGCAGTAATTTATTAGAGAGTGTTGCAACCTAACTGATTTGTGATTGATCTACCGACGCAATCAAACTGCAGGACCCTCTGGCATTAATGAGGATTTGCTCAAGAAGTACTCGATTCGTTTGGTGTTTTATGACCGGCCGGGGATTGGGCAAAGCGATCCTCAACCGAAGCGCACCTTGAACTCATCAGCAGAAGATATGGCAGACATCGCCGATGCATTGGGCATGGGAAGCAAATTCTGGGTCTTCGCCCACTCCGGTGGCGCCGTGTACGCATGGGCTGCCCTCCACTACATTCCTGATCGACTGGCTGGTACTTTTCCTCCTTTATGCGAACATTGCTTTTGGTTTACAAAATCTAACCACCCACACTTTGCCAATCTTCCAATTGCACCCTGACATTGCATGAATGGTTTCATATTTTATTGCAGGAGTGGCCATGTTTGGACCCTTGATGAACCCATACGCCAAGAACATTACAAAGGAGGAAAGCAAAGCCATGTGGGCTGGTTTGAGCGGGTTGAGTTCCCCATTCTGGTACGCTCGGCACTTTCCTTCTTTCGTCCCCAGAAAACTCAAGAGTAATATCAAGAAGGTCAACAAATACATGAAGAACATCAAGCAGTCTGTCAATTCGAAGGTGCCAACCTTTTTCCATGGTTTTTACTTCGTCTTTCTTTACTCTTCAGGAGCCTAGGCGGAGAAACGATTAGTTTTGCTTGCAAAAGAATGTGGGTGTATTCAGGTTTGGGTCTTGTATTAAAATTCGCAGCAATCAAATTGGTCGGTTCTTGTGGCAGGATCGCGCTCTTATTGAGACAGATGCCTTTGGTGAAGCGTGGGAACGTGCAGTTCAGGAATCAGTGCGTTCAAAAGACCCCAAGCCACATGCACAGGATCTGATCCTGCAAGCTCAGGACTGGGGCTTCCAGTTATCCGATATCCGACCCAAGCCAGCGAAGAGGAGCTTGCTCAGTCGCATTTTTTTATTCTTTAGAAGCTCAGAAATGCCTGGGTTTTCCGGACCAATCCATATTTTTCATGTACGCCATCTCGACCATGTCTCTGGGTGCGAATTCAATTTCGTGTGCAATGAATACAAGAGTAATAAGGTTGTGCAACTGGAATATTTTGCGAAATCACATTCAAGCATGATTTTGAATTCGGGATGGGATTTTCCTGCAGGGAACTGAGGATAAGGTAGTGCCTTTGGTTATGAGTGAGTATGCGAAGCGGATCCTTCCCCAAGTGGAGCTCCACAAACTGCAGGGAGAGGGACATTACTCCTGGTTCTTCAACTGTGACCACTGTCACCGTGAGTTATTAAAAACCCTATTTGGTGAGGTGGCGGGGCTAGAGGAACTGGACGCGCCAGTTGCGTCGGAGGATGGCATCAACCCAGAACCTGAGAACGATGAACACCAACAAAATCAGGAGGAAGAGAATGCAAAGACTCTGGAGCCTCATCTGAGGATTGAGAAGCCTAAAGGCGTGATACCGCAAGGGCCTGAGAAGCCAGAGGAAGGGGCTCTAAATGACCTCACCATCGCTGAGAAAGAGGCTGAGAAGATTGCTCTGTTTAAAGAAGCAGGATTGGAGCCCCCAATCGAACCCCAAATCGGTCTCAGCCCTGAGCAGTATGACGAACTACAACACGAGATTGAGGTAAAACATAGCCATGAGCATGAGGCCAAACATCATGAGGAACTCTGAGGTGTATGTATTACTAAGTCTTCGTACTGGAAGTGTCGAAATCTGAGCTTTGGTTAAGTGCAGGCATTACGTAGGATGTTTGAAGGTAGTTGTGCATTTGCAACGATTCTACTACTCTGGAAATCAAATGTATATATGGAGGTCCGAAGTAGCTTGGGTGGTCAAACTGCCTTCACTGTTATATCTCAGCTTACAATGTGACTACATTTCACATCAAGGTTGTAATGATCTCACAGTTGCATAGAATATATTACACAAACGTTGGAATGCCAATTTTTCTGTGGGTGCATTCGTCATTTGGTAACGTCATACAGTGAATAGATTAGTGATTGATTAGTCTCTTCGCTTCTTGCATTAGTGTGTTGTGAGAATTTTGATGTGAAGTGGAGTTCGTGTATGAGGAACTCGAGGTAGTTTTTGCTCTTCAGCCTCATCTTCTGATATTCCAATTTTAATGGTGATGTTGCCTCAGTCACTTTCGACCATATGGATTGAAAATCACGTTGTTAAAGGTATCTTGTGTTCAATTATATAAAGGTTTGGAAAAAGTCTGTTATAACTAAAGGCTATTTGTCTTTTACCATGTAGAGACAAAAGTATAGAGTGCTTTGGTTTTTGTTGCTCATGTTTGGAAGAAATAGTTATATTTGAAAACAAATAATATTAGTAAATAAATATTTATTTTTTTGATATAAAATATGATACATCTCATGATTAATGAAGATTAATGTGACAAGATGTATCTTAATTCTTTATTCTTTGTAAGTAAGAAAAAAAAAATAAAGAGTTTTATCTACCAAAAATTATTATAAAGAAGAATAAATGATGTTTCTATAATTATTTTTGACTATTTATTTACGTATGATTGAACCACACAAGTATTTTAGGACTCCATCTTATTGTCATCTCATATTTTACTCCTATTATATTTTTGATTATCTATGATTTATCTTTACAAGAAGTTCTTAGCTTGATTTGGTTCTTTTTTTTATTATTTTATTGAGTGAATTTTTTTATTAGATTTGACCATACTTAATTAAATGCTTCAATATTTTTTTTTTGCATATTTGAGTCAGTCCAAATGTGATCTTCAAAAAACAAACATATTTGTGTGAATGTAATAAGGTTAGCTTTTTTGGACCATATATATATATATATATATATATATATACACAAAAGTTAAAGTAAAGTTTTTTTTAGATAATATAAAAATAAAAAATAAAATTTAATTTTTAATTTAATTTTAATTTTTTTTATTCTTCTTTTTGGCTTTGAAATATATTTTCACTATCTAAACAAAGCCTTTTTCTAAGTTAGATATTTCTCTATTAATGTGTAGATTAAAAAATTTCACCTCTACAAAGGTTTGTTGTTATTAAAATATCACTATAGGGTTATAATCATCTTTTTACTTAAATAAGCTTGAATAATTGTTGACTTTAGGAAGTAGTATCTCTACTATAACTATATTCATTTTTTTTTATTTATTTATTTTTTTTGGATAAAACCATGTGAGAATCACTTAATCTTTTGTCTTCAAAATTAAGTTTAAATTCTTCTTTGTCATCTTCTTACAATTATAAATTAGATTTAGAAGCTTTAAATCTCTCTCTCTCTCTCTCTCTCTCTCTCTCTCTCTCTCTATATATATATATATATATATATATATACATATATATTTTAAATAATACTAGTGCTTATGTGGATTTAATATGTTTATTAATAAATTAGTAGAAAATTAGTAGAAAATCACCATGTTTTGTCTATTCTATGTTAAAATTCTAAAAATTCAATTCTCATTTGTTCTTTGTCATCAATTGTTTTTCAAAAGTCCATCTACTATATTTCAATGCCTATTACTTTAGCTATCATAAGTTTTTTTTTTTTTTTTTTTTTTTTTTTTTTAAATTTGTTAAACATTAGAATCACTACAATAGAATGCTTTGATTTGAAATTTGGCTAGTAGAGCCTTCATTGCTTGCTACTTTACTCCCTGTGTGATGCAAGAGTGCATTGACTTTTCAAAGTTCTATCGTGATTTCTTTCTTTAAGAAATTTAACTTTTATTGATTATCATTATAAAAAAAAAAAAAAAAAAACCCCCCAGTGGATGGTAAAAAATGTAGAAAAGAGAAAATAAATGTTATTAATAATAATGACCCTTCTTCTCATGTTGAGAACTAAAGTTTAGTTTCTTCTTCATCTTGTCAATAAGAAATTATGTCTTTATTTTTTACACAGATTAATAGCTTGAAAATAGTACAAAGAATCTTATTTATATTTACTGATAATGCATAAGATGATCCAAATTAGTCAATCTATATAAGAGTCTTTGTAAATTTTTATAATACCAATAGACCATTAATTTGGTTCAATTGATTTTAAGTCTAAAAATCTTGCTAAAAAAGTTTTAAAAAGTATATACTACTTTAACTTTAGTTTTTTAATTTTCTTTCCTTAGTGTAAATATGGTGGTGTTTGCTTGTTAAGTAATACATTTGTTAATTGTGTCCTAGAGTAGATTAATTATATTAGTTTTAGTATTTTTTATAACTTTTTCATTTGCAATTTTAAAAACTCGTTCAATAATAATAAATAAGTATGGTATAAGAAGACCTTCATGTCCTTTCTTTTTAAACCAAATTATTTGGTGTAATCATCATTTATGCCAATTGTGGCTTTTTATCATTTAAATAAAGCTTGAACTATGTAAATACATTGTCTATGAACAGCTTATTTGTATAAGGATATCTAAAATATTCCATAGATTTTGGAGAAACCAAGTTTCAATAACAATAGAGATTAATTGAAAGTTTTGGCTCAATATATAATCTCCTAAGTCATTAGAGTGTTGACTAAAATAAATTGCAAATAAAAGAACACAATTTGATCAAGATAGATAATCACCATTAATATTAATTATAGTCATCTTTATAAAGCCTTCACATAAATATTATACTTTATATTTGATAGAGTAATATATTTCTAATTTTAAAATTATTTTTGCTTTCTTCCTTGCATGCTCAGATGAAGTTTATTTTACAATATTTTAGAATAAATGGCCTTTTGTATTATTATCCATTAATTTCAAATAATCCTCTCTGATTGTATTTTAACATGCCTTCAAAAACGCAATCTCAATCCTATTAGGCTCTAGAGCTTTTTTAATAGCTAATTCTTCCAAATCATCTTTTACTAGTTTTAGTTCCATTCCCTTGGCTATATCAAATTTATTTTTCCAATCACCTAATTTTATATTATCAATGGTATGTTTTTGATTTTTATGAAGTCACTTTAAAAACCTTTTTTATGATACAGAATGTTTGTTAATCATATTGTATTCTAATTAAATCAGTAATTTCTTTCAAATAATTTTCTTTGCAATTATTTAAGGTGGAAATAATTAAATGTGAGATCTTTTGCACAATAAATCTTTTCAACATCTGTATCCAAAAAAGTTCAATTTTACACAAGCTTTGACCTTTGATTGTTTTTGTTTTTATTTAACAAATCAAACAAGTTAAGCTTAGGCATATATAAGTTATTATTGTACATCCTCTAGAAATTATTAGAGCATTTGGTGAGATATTGTTACTTTCAATTCTTTTTGTGCCTTGATTTCATCTTTGCTTGATAATTATTGAAAACAAATTCATGGAAGCTAATAATTTTTTTTCTATCAAAATAAAATATTTTGGCAAAATATATATACATATAAGTATTTGAATATGTAAACTATTCCATTCTCTCCAAATACTTAGGTTCTAATAGATATTTTTTTTAAATTAAAATTTAATTTGATAAGATTAATTTATTGTTGTGTGCATATCTATCTATCTATCTATCTATCTATCTATATATATATATATATATATATAATATTCTTTCCAATAATTAATCCCACAAAAACTAACTACCTACCATAATTAATTAGAATTTGAGAATCAATTTTTTTCTATGGTGCATAATTAATAGCTTCTAATTTCTAATAACTGATTACTTATTATAATTTATTGTTAATTATTGAATTTAATTAACAAGGTGAAAATATTACTTAATTTTTTTATACAACGGATCATATTAATTGGTAGAGGAAACATTATATATATATATATATATATATATATATATATATATCAGTTAAATTACTAATTACTAAAACATTATTGATATTAAAGTTTAGAATTATAATTAGGAGGAAATTTGAGGTTGCTTTTAATTTTTTAAAATTTCTCTTTGAATATATTTCAAAATATATTTTATTTATTCTATATTTTTACATTTTTATATTATTTTAAAGTTTTTAATGAAAATATTAAAATATTAAAAATTCTTAATAAATATTTTTATGTAAAAAGTGGTGGTTTGTATTGCAATAGTTGTAAAGATTATTTCAAAAACAACATTAGTTTCAATGATCAAAGAAATCAACAACTGTACTGTTTTCTTCTAGGTTTTGTAATAATTTCTGAAAATTAAAAGATCATAGATTTTAAAAAAGTATCAAAAGCATCAAAATCTTTGAAAACATCTCGAAAAGTTTGTTGCTGATCATGAAGTAGTAGAATAAAACCAAAAAAATATCTTAAGTAATTATATGTATTCAAGTTTTTGTTGTGTAAGGAAACAAACCATTCAATGTGGATTGATTTATTGCTATTTTGTTTTAGTAACTAATAAAAACATACGCAAATCTTTTAAAGTTTCACAATTGTGATACATATAAGTATAGATCAACATACAAGTGGAAAAGAAACGTAATTTTTTACAGAAATTATTGATCTACATCCATATATACAAACTTTATTGCTTTGTGCAATTAGTAAGAGCAAATAACGTGGAGTCAAATATCCGTTAACGAAAAACCCTTCAATTTCGTCGACGTGGTCGTCGTCATCGTCCAATAACGCGGGCGCCGGCGTCCGTGGCGTAGCTCCAAGCGCCCCTTACCGGACGAGTTCCGAATCGAGGCATGGAAGGGAACGTTGCGCCGAATCGTGAACACATTGGTCGATCAACTTTTAGCAAGCAACCCTAAGCTTGAATCTGCTTGCGTGGGGAACGATGATAACATGAATCAGCTCTGGAGCGCTTGTGAGACATGGGTTCTAGGTTCGGTGTATGACAAGATCATTGGCGCATGTAAGCAGATGTTTGGTCGGAGTGATAAGTGTCTGGATGCCAATCTTGCCCGACTTGATAAGGTAGATCCAATTGTGCTTGGAGTGCGATCTGAGTTCAAGGAGTTTGTACTCGGTGAGGCACTCTCGCAGTTCAGAATGATCAACCGGGGTCGCACGCCGTTGGAA